TGAAATGAAACATCTCTTTGTTATGCTATAATATGAACTAACTCTAACAGTTTAACTGGATCTAGAATAAAGAAAGTCGAAGGACACAATCAAAACGATGTTCATATTGTACTTGTGCTTTCAAATAAAAAAAACCAATGGAGATTAATTATTACCTTAGACTTGCATGTAATTGTCTTACTATTCTCTTTTAAAACAAAAGTTTGGATAGAAATTTATTACTTTTAATTTCTAAAATTCTAGTTTACATATTATTCAATTACAAGTTGTAACGGTTTAATTAAATCTAGAATGAAAGATAAGAGGAAGTTGAACATTTTTACTGTTGATTTAAATAATAAGGTCGTGTCTATTTCATTGACCAAAAATATAATTAAGCTTATTGAAAAAGAAATGTATAAAAAAGTCTTACTTAAAATAATAAATAACTGACTGTTGACTACGTGAAACCGTTCGCCGTTTTCTTTCCAATGTTTTTGATTCTAATATGTCTAAATATCGCATTCCTATTGAACAATTCATAGCCTACTTTTCGATTATCCACAGTCAAGTTTGATTGAGCATATGTATCGACAAACATTTTTCTACTGTAAAAATACAAATACTCTGTGCTGGCAATTACAAACTTGCAAACAATAATTGTAGTAATTTCATGTATTTAGGAAAGAACTAAAACGAAAAATATACAGAAAATTTTACCATTTATATTAATGTTTATAACAGAAACATTTCTAATCTATTTAAATTTTGTCAATTGCTTTAAATTGTATTTGTTCTTTTCGATAGCGATTATGTAACTGTTGTTGATTATACTGATAATGTATAACGGATATCATTTTTATCGAGATCAAGTGAAAACGAGCAGTTAGACGTTGATTTCACAATTTGTGCATGTGAAATAAATCATCAAGAAGATTATACTTTAAGATATAAAATAAAACATGCATACTCAATTTAAATAATAAAAAATACTGTAAATAATACATTGGAATTAATAAACTAAATAATAAATTGTAACAAAAAGATACTAATCAAATTACTAATTATACATCGAAAACAATATGAATAAAATATATTCTTTACATGTTTACCTTATTTAACACGGTAATTTTTTTAGTTACTATTTTATGAAGGATTAGGAACAGTATACTATTGCTTAAAATTATTGTATTCACGTCTGTTCTGAACAATAGGAACATAGTTACTATGAAAAAATAAAATATAGCGACTAAATTGACAGCTGTATTTCTATTGAGCACTTATATATCTTGATAGTCTCAAACCATTACCCCCTACATCGCCATAATCAACGTTGCTTGATTAATCAATATGTACCATCTAATAGAAACTGTTTGTGCTGACTTTATCAGCTATTTTCTTTTAGAGTGAGAGGTTTTGAAATAAAAAACGGAAAAAAGGAACTAATTTTATGAATTACATAACACGTAGTTCAAAATACGGAGAGTTTTTGTGTTTGCTACTATGCAACCATCCCACTGTACTACACGACAAAAAGTAAGAATGCTATAGACTAGTGTTAAGCATGAGCTTATTTCAGATCACTCAAACGCAATTGATATAAACGCAGTTAATTTATCCAGCTTGACCACTAATAATCTGGTTGCGTATATGTATCCACATTGTTAGGTTTCTTTCGAGGTTTCCTGCTACAAAATATTTTTGTCCCTGTGACATCGGAGGTTTAATTTTGTTTATTTTTCGAGGGTAACTGTAAGCAACTTTGAAAAAAAAGTAAGAATTCGCTTAATTTCTCGGAAAATGACCACTTTTTCAGATTCTTTTGTTATAACGTTCCAAACTCTCAGCAAAGGTTCATTGTCTCAGAACCGGGACTTTCGCAACTATACGAGCCAGAATAGTAAGAGGGTTGGAGAGGGATCATTTTTTTTATTAATATGAACTTCATTTGATAGTATCAAGGAAAATAGACTAATTGCAAAAGATACGAGAGTGACTTCGATAAGTCGAAACGTCCACATTGATTTGTAAGTTAATCAATAAAATGATAAAAACTCTCGTATCTTTTGCAATTAGTTTATTTTAATAACTCCTTCTTTCTAAAAGTGATTCCGTACGATTTTGATCCTAACAGCAAAAAGCCGAATTTTACCGAATCATCATACAAAGAAGTTGGGAAGCAACTGGTATATTCTAGGTCAGCCGATTGATTTACCATTGTGTATTGCATTTTGCTCGTTTCCCTGGCAAAGGGAGTCTTGTCGTGGCTTGTCTTAGTGGTATTTCCGAAACTCTAACTGATCCGTTCAGAATTCCTTTGCAACTTGCCCTAAAACGCGTTGCTATCTTGAAGCGGCGTGTTGATAATGATATGACCGTCCCTCCTCGGAGTACACTTTCTATTGTGTTATACATGTTGCGACGCAAATCCATGCGCTGATTCAGAATACGCCATTAGGTTGTGTTAGACGTTCCTGCTATAAAAAAATTATATTTTTATAAAACTAGAAGTATCCTTCAGCTTCTTAGCCCTTGTAACAACACAGGATGGATACTTTGGGATTGCTGCAATCTCAAAATTATAACGGTGCTGCAACCCAACGCTGATGTACCATCTACCTATTCCCATACCTATATATTCACCCTACCTACCGATACATATTTGTGCCTGCCCATACCTACTCATGCCTTGACGTTACAGCAACACTATTAAGTGGAGTTCGATCTACATACACATTCAGAATTGGAGTGTGGCACGGTTGTAGCATGAGACTGAGTAACAAAACAACATTTCAGTTCGTGTGATAAAGAATATTATACTCCTTATCCTCTTTATGATTATTGTTCTGTTTGTCCTTCTGTACATATAGACATGAGTAGACAGTAGTAGGTGTGGGTAGGTACGAGTAGGTACCCATCCATACCAACTGATTTTGTGGTTGTAGCAACCCGAAATTATCGATGAGGTCTGGAACAAAAACTTTTATGCCATTCGGTAGAAACGCATGCTCTGTATAGTCTAAAAACATAGAGCGTAATCGAGATAGAAATTTGATTTTTGAGCAGTTAGTTAGGAGGTACTAGGTAACTGTAAGACCGGTATAGAGTGCTGCCAAATGGTAGTTTCAATAGCCGGATATCTTCTCTGCCGTTGACAAGCCTCTGAAATAGTCATCCATCTCGTCGCTAGTCATCGGTTGCAGCTCTGACCAGAAGGCTAGCCTGACGCAGAGAATAAAACATACATCTTAAAAATTCAGAACATCTCTCACGTCGACACTTTTCTCCTGATCGGTGACAAGGTTGAGTTTTCACAATACAACTCCACTCAGCTAGAGTTCACCAAGAAAGATGCTTGCATCACACTGCAAACTACACCTGTCACGCACGTGGTCAAGCCTGACATCAAAATGGCCTTCACCGTTCTCCGTCTCTTCGAGGCGAATTTTTAGATTGAAAACGAGAGGTGTCTGGGCGAGACATAGGAAGTGACTATTCTTTACACGAAAGAAGGTAGAACTGATTTGAGCGACTTGACTTTTACACGCCCTTCATAGCTATCCTTTTTCTGTCCTTTTCTTTTCTTAAATGTAATTATGGCAGCCAGCTAGAAGACGCGATAGCGGTCTGACAAAATACGCCTAGCTATCAGCTCTTTCTCTGTTACCACTGTACAGGACTGAAAACGAACTAGTATTCAAAGTCTTACAGAAGTTACTGCAAGTATATCATCATTTTCGACGAGATCGGTCGGTCAGCTGACGAGTTAGTTCTGCTCATTTTGACCGGTTCTGGATTTCAGCTTGTGTGTAACCGATCGGACATATCTACCACAGCATTAAATATAATAGACCCGTGAAGGATGAAAAGTTAAACCGAATAGGAGATGCATCGTTGTACAGAAGAAACGCACCGCAAAGTGAAACTGCTTGTAGCTCGCCATCTGGCAGGTTTTAAAATAAAATAAAAATTTTTTGATGTCATGCGACGAGAACGTTTTAAATTCGAGCTATCCCAAGCGATGAGTGACTTTGAACCGAGTTAGATGTGTGAATTGCCTAGTACACTTGGAAATATCACCCCATATGGCCAGCTCGATATCCCTAGCATCATTCCGTTCTGCAACCTTAGTACCCTTTTAAACTCAGAGAGCAGGGGAGCAGTACGTTGCAAGAGCTCGAGCATGTGTCAAAAACTGCTTATCAGTGGACTGCAAGCGATTGAAAGTTAAACTCTTTCAGACAACACACTATATACTTCAACAACAAATGTTGTCTCAAGCTATTTTGGATTTGCCTACTATTTAGGGACAAATCTAGCTCTGGGAGCTAAACAATTTTGTCCGTAGTTCGCATTTTGTAGCCGTGCAAATCTTTGTTGCCCTTTTCTTACCCTGGAACACTTGTAAGAGTTTCAGTATCACCATATTTAGAGGTACTTAGTTGGTCTTCATTTTGAACTTCAGCCAAGGGGAAAAAAGTTCATTTAAGTGAAGAAAAAAGAGAGGAAAAGATTCAAATAGGTCAAACAGCAAAAGTAAACAAAAAATAAAAAAATGAGCTTTTCCTCCGTGACTTCAATACTAGATCTGTGCATTTTCTTCACAAACCAGCTTACAGATAGAATGTTCATAAAGCTATTAATATGAACGTATGTATACAAACGACGTCATCCGGGTTTGTACTTGTAAACGGAAAATTCCGCTGTATTATAAGTACTGTCTTTAAAAATGTTTAATTTCTGTCGTGCGTTAGAATAGCGTCCATACCTAATGGTGAGGGAAAACAGTGCCGAGTCTCCCTGTGAATGTTATGTTCTCAAGCGGACATATTTTCCGGATTTTTTTAACCACAAACAAAGTCCTGAAAATTCGCAAATGTAGACTGAATCTTAAAAAACGAAGAGGAAACAAGCGAAATAAATATTTTTTGCTCAGATGGAAAAAAGTATAAGCTTCAGAATATTAAAATCATACATATTTTACAATGTTTTTCATGCGTTCATGCCGACGACCGTCGAGTTCAATGCTTCTTTGTTGCCCACACAGCCAGCCATCGCTTTATGGCCGCAATCACCTTTGCATGAACACGTCTCACTGAAAGTGGTGCGTCATAATCGTCATCACCATCCCAGCCGTGCTCAGCACCAGCCATAATCGTGTCAGGGCAGGAGGGTGTGTCAGCACGCTTACCACCGCCTGGTGCGCCATAATCTGAATTAATGGAAGCCGATCGCCATGGATCGAATTCGCCGTTGATCCAAAAGAGATTCTCGATGCAACTGTTTGAACCAATCTGCCAGCCGCCCCATTTCTTGTTGATGGCAACTGCTTGTGGCTTGGGGGGAATCGCATTCAACTTGCCGGGCGGAAAGTAGAGTGGGCACATTCGCTGCCAATAGGCAGCGTTCTGCAGTGCCGGTACGATACGTGGCTGCGGTCCGTCAGCAGGCGGTGCAGTCATAAAGAAGCCAAACACGGTGCAGCATTGATACCACCAGGCACGATCATCATTGGGAATAGTGATATTCGTGTATACATCCGACTGAGCATTATGCGTACTCAAGCAGTCATTCAACTCATTGGGTAACGAATCAGGACATAGATTAGACGCGACCCACTTCGAAATCCACTGACCGTAACTAACCAGCGCACTGGCCAATCCCGTTCCATTTGCACCCGCATAGTGTACCTTTTTTCCAACAACAACGGTCTCAAGTTGATCACAGAAGCCTTGCGTTGTTGAAACTACATCGTCATTGACATCTTGTGAGTAAGTGTCTTGCCACGCATAGAGCGGCGACACGAGTACGGAGGCAAAGTCATCGTTGTGCTTCACATTCTGTAGACCGAAAATGGTCTTGAGCTTCTTAATCTGTGTCACTGTCCCGCTGGCCAGTGTTTGGTCCACGTGAGCCACCACGCGCATTATATCTTTCGTGCAGTTCTTAGGCAGTGCACTATACACAGGCATGAAATATTGCCAATAGTCCACAATCGCTTGCACGGGTGCGCTGCTTGACACGGCCGCGAACAGGAGATTCGGATACTTGCTTTTGAGATACGCAGCGCGTACACCCGGATAACTGATGCCTAAGTGGACCCACGGCGCATGCGGTGCGTTCAACGATTTGATTGCAGGTATTTTGAGCGTGGTCATAAAGTAGACTAAATCCTCGATGTTCTGATCGAGCGTGTGAAAGCGCAAGCTGTCTGTGGACAAATCGGCGAATGGCTGCGACTTGCCGAAGTAACGATGCTCCATGATGATGATGAGACCGTTCGTTGCCTTTGCGTACTCACCAGCACCGCCATAAGTATCAGTCAGGACGCTGAGATACTGATCGGCGGCTTCCTCACCAGAATCATACAGATAAATGGGACCTAGGGAATCCGAAATATTTTCTGAAGTTGAAAGCTGCTGGTAATGCACCTACCTCCTGCTTTGTACCATTCCGCGTTGTACCAATAACGTTGTTTGAATGTGCTTTTGCCCTTGCCAAAATGATCAACACGCTGCAGAAAATAGTGCTGGATGGAGACAGCCGAGGTCAGCAAGCGTGAAGAGGAGACACGGTGCCTTATCTTGTAGATTTGGCTAGGATGTAGCGCATTCACTAGAAAAATGCGGGCGACAAATAGAGCGATCAGTGAGGGGAGAAGAAAATGCATGTTTTCATGCACTCACGAGTTGATAATCGTACAGCGACAAGCAGAGGGACAAAGCGAAAACAAATGACCTTCCTACACGACGTATATACCTCAATAATCGTTTCACATGAGCGGCTGTCGCATTGGAGAGAAAATCTATAATAAACCTTGGCAGGGTAGCACCTGAAGGTGCTAAAAGATGGAACTCCCATCACTGAGACGTTTAGTCTTAAAAACAAAAAAGTAGTTCTAAACTGAAGTAAAAGTTTAATATACTAATGAAAGTTACAGAACATGGATGAATTTTTTTATTTCTAACCAAACATTTATATTTGGGATTTGTTTATTCCTCGAAGAGGAAGTAACGGTCTTATACTCAAAACCACTGTTTTTAAGATAAATTTGCTTAAATATTGTTCTTAGCAGGGTGGTGGATTTATCTTAAAGAAGGACCAAACCCTTTTAAAACTTCTTTAGTCTTCTTATTTTTCTTATTCGTGATATATAATAAAAAAATAGGCTGAATTGTTAGAAATAAAATTAATATCATCAAAAGTGAAAAGTTTTATAAAGACTTTTGGTATTCGCCAGCCTTAGCAACATAGACTTTTTATGTTTCGCCTGTGTGCTACAGTTTATCGACAGAAAAGTATTTTTTTGGCCTTTTCTCAGTATATCTTCAAAGAGAGATGGAGTTACAGTTTTTATACCCGAAAAACCTGATTTTAAGATATTTTTGGGTCGCGAAATCTCTTAATATGACGAAGTCATCGAAATTAAAGCGTGGTTTTTCGATTTATGGATTCATAATTATTCTTTTTATATTGTTGTTAATGCCGTACTTATTTTCATTTTACACTTTTCGTAGAAACAGTTACTTTTACTGGCTCTTTTATATTTTTAATTTTAGACATTCTAAATTGTTTTTATCTCTTTGCATATGAATTGTTCATCTAATCGTTCTAAGTCATGGCCGGTAGTATCACAGCTAAACTCTCAAACAGATTTCCTGGCATAATATAGGATAAACCATTGCTGAATAATCGCACTAAGATATCGTGTGGTGGTGAATATCAAACAAAGATCGAAATAACATCGCGTAAAAGCATTGTAAAATCATCATGTAAAGACATCCTTCAGGTGGTGTACATACACATCTAATCTCAACTCAATATCTCTAAAAGGTGTGCATAAATTTAAGACGGTGTAAGGCCACTTTAAGATGGCGTAAAGGACATTATAAGATCGTGTAAGGGTACTGTTTAAGAGCGTGTAAGCAGGGGGGAAAGTCAAATTTACCATAAAAGCAACGGGTTTTGGGTACAAAACTGTTACTCCCTCTTCTTCGAAGATAGTGAGGGAGTTCCGCAAAAATTAAATTACTTTGCTGCCAAATGGCAGTTTCAGTAGTCGGATATCTTCCCTGCGGTTGACAAGCTTCTGAAATAGTCGCCCATCTCGATACTAGTCATCAGTTGCAGCTCTGGCCAGAAGGCTAGCCTGACGCAGTCGCCAAACTACTTGAACTCTCCATACACACTTCACTAACCAAGTACTAGCTTTCCGGAAAGCCACGAGAACTAGCCGTAGAAGATGTATTGTAAGGCGCTCCAATTTGAAGTGATAGCTCTATTTTATTTTTGGCTTATTAATCATACATCATTTGATAGACAATTTCACGCTGATCAACAATATCTGGTTTTTAGTCTTCCCAGTGAAGGAAAAAGAATTTTTCTCGTTCTGTCGCTTGTCGCTCTTATTGCCGACATGCTGGTAATAAGAGCGATCGACTGAGCAGCTCGCAGATAACCAATGACCGCCGACTTCTGTGAGCAGCTAAATTCTTGCATTTTGTGTCAAAAAATCGGAATTGTCTCGTTTCTCGGGTAACAAAACAATGCGAAAGATCTGACAACGCATTGCGATACACTAGGTGCAAAAAGATGAAGCGAAAAAAGATCGCTCTTATTATCAACATTGTCTCTACGAGTCCCGCCAATGCACCATCGATAATCGGTCTTCGTACTACCTTTTTCTCTCCGATACGGAAGCCGGTCATGTGAAACGGTTATTGAGGTATATATGTCGTGTAGGAACGTCATTCATTTTCGCTTTATCTCTTTGCCTGTCGCTGTGCGATTATCGCCTCGCGCGTGCCCTGAAAGCATGCATTTTCTTCTCTCCACACTGATCGCTCCATTCGTCACCCGTATTTTTCTGTGAATGCGCTAGTGATTCAAAGTTATCATGTCATCCACTGTTCGTAATCGTCTCTATCGCGCATCCCTGTTCTATGAAACCGAATCTGTAGTATGGGTTGGTGACGTGTTTGTATCGGGATTTCTAGGTAGAACAGCTCG